TTGTACTTCAAAGTTTTGTATTTATTGGGAAGTTTATTGAAAGTCTTGATTGCAGTTAAGTAGCTACTTTTAGTGAATAAAGTTCGATTTATTTTTGGTAAGTTGATAGATTTGTTTCTTGTTATGCTTTCAGATTGCATATAGTTCCTTTTTAGATCCTCGTAATGAAATGAAAGCGACTCAAAAATAAAGGACTGTTCTAATTTCAGTGGAACAGGGAGATTCATATCACCCTTAAGGACTATTTTCAGTAATCTCTTTTGAAGAGATTCCAAGGTACATTTGACGTTGTTATATGCGCCTCCCCAGGCTATGATTCCATAGTTACATATACTATGAAAGAAAGCATAATAGACACTCAGCAGCGATCTTGGATGCATTAGCTTAGCTAACTTTGTGAATATAAATAATAAATATTTAGTCCTCCTGCAACATATTCAATGTGAATATCCCATCTTACTCTATAATCAATATAAATACCTAAGTACTTACAACTCTCTACTCTTTTTATTTGGTGATTGTTTATTTTTATGTCCAATTGATTAGGGACACTATCACAATATACTCCAAAAGCTATATACACTGTTTTTAATATATTTAGAGATAACTGATTTAGTGCCAGCCACTTATCAACACGCTTAAGCGAATTGTTCATTCTTTCTTGCACTTTCTTCCATGAATTCTCAGCACATAATATCACAGTATCATCAGCATAGGATACTATAGTTTCTGACGGCAGTTGAAGCAGCAAATCATTGATATACAATATTTACTCAAACGTATTTTATTTGTTTCAAAAGATGCAATGTGCTTGCCTTTTTGTTATTTTAGGGACCATTTAAAAATAAATTATTCTCAGTAGGTACAATTTAACAACAAAAGCTTACTTTTATAGTGTTAGTCAAAACAAAAAAGCTTCATTTGAGATAATGAAACATCTTCTATAAAACTGTTTTATTCTATCTCGATAAATAGGTATTGTATAATTCTCATAATGATAAAATATAATTTTGCTCCATAACTGTTATCAATAAAAATGTTTTATAATTGTTGCAAACTATGTTTTATAGTAATTTTGTAAATGTTTAAACAATTATCCGGTAAAAGATGTGGACGCCATAATAAAACATTGGTATAGAACAAAATTGCTGCGCAAGAGTGCGCCCTTTTTGGTTTTATAAGCGTTGTATAAACGTTGTTCGAACGTTTATAGCGACATTGTTATTTTATAATAATAGTTCTGTAAACGTTGTTAGGCCATTTATAAAACATAAATTGTTAGTTGGGCTGTACATGAAATGAATTTTAACTTCTATACCTTCGTTGATTTTAGTTTGAGTTTTTCCAATTCCTATAGTCGGATAATTAACTTTACTTGCATTAACTTCTAGCTTTTTGGCTAAATTTTTAGTCATAAAATTGGTCTGAGAACCTCCATAGAGCAAGGCCCTACTCATTTTGAAATTTCCTCAATGTCTTGAATACAAATGTTATCTGTACCTAGCAAAATGTCAACATTATCATTGGATTTAAAAGTGGAATGATTATTGATACTATATAGAATGAGCAGGAAACAATTCATTAGCTTGACTCTGAACTTGGCCTTGAACATCAAAGCTGTGATCTTGATCATGAACACGAACGTGAGCATTATTACTTTAAAAATTGTCATTGTTAAATTCAGAAATATTGTGATTAATTCGAGAAAAATTACTTTGATTTGCTTGAGAATCGAAAACACTAGGCTGTGAACTTTGTGAAACATGTTGAATCAAGTGTTGAACATTTGAATTGTTTTGATTTTCAGAGAACTTTACAACTGGCTCTTTTTGAATTGAAAAATTACCATCAATACTTATGTGATAAAGTATTGTCCCTTAATTTACATTTTTTGCACTGGCCTGTACCTGAACTTTGGCATAGAGGTGTGATCCTTAACTAGACTTTCCCATTCTCGTCTGTTAAAGTAATCAAGTTTAGAAACTAACATGTAAATTAGAATCGAATTCCATTGTACTACTGGGTCTCCTAAATTTTTTAAAAAACGATAATGTTTCAGCAATGTGTCAGAAAAGTGTCTTAAAGCAATGGAATTTTCCTTCGGAATATTTTCTAACTCAAACAATGACTTTAGATGACAATTGATAATTAACTCTCTTGTTTTGAAATATCTTTTTTAATAAGTCCCATATGCAATGTCCTAGTTTAAATCGGTTATTTCAAGTGATTGCACTACTTTAAGAGCGTCACCTCGTAAGTATGATTTGAAAGTCAAAAGTGTCATAAAACTCTAGCAAACTAAACAGCCACATTGTGAAGAGGCTCCTTAACCTAATCTAGACGGAGAGCCAGCGCCGAAAAAATTCTCTGAATTTACTAAAGCTAGTTTTTGGACAGGTGATTACAATAGTTATGTACATAAATATAGCGCAGTCAGTCAAGCGAAACTTGGGACAAGGACCTAGGGTGTCTTGTTAAAGTTGTCGAGATAACTTAGTTAATGCAACGAATTTACTGAGGCTGAAAATCGTTATTATATGTTACACATAAATAACAGTGATGCTGGTCAGTCAGTTGAATAGCGGAACTGTGCTGATCAGTCAGCCCCATTGAGGAAGTTCAGCCCCAATCACTATGCAAAAAAATAATCGGTTTATTTTTTTTTAGAGTGACAGCGTGACAGCATAGAATACGTGACAGTCAGAGATGTGACAGTGATAATTCAAAATTGTAAGTTGAAACACAGCATATACAAAAACAATCGGCAGGCTAATGGCGTTTCCGATTGGTAGATTCAGTGCGCACCGAGTGTATTTACATCCTTTTAATCGACCCGTAGAAGAAAAAGACAGAAATAGAAAAAATTGCACTAGTTCCGCACTAGATCTACCAATCGGAAACGCCATAACTCTCACGCGCATCTTTTCTGCGCACGCCGCCATTAGGGGATTCCATTTTGTCAAAACTCTGTCATTAAACGGCAGGAGCGCCGAAATTTTATTTTATTTGTTTATTTCTGACGGAGGTCATAGGCGTGCGGTGTAGAGCGGAATTTTAGTTATGATTTTCAAAACGATTTTGATATATTCGTGTTGTCGTTTATGGTGTTATCTGTTATCATTCTTGTATATTCAATAATAATAATAAATTAGTAATTATAAACATTTTTATATGTAAGTAATAATAAATTAGTTTATTTAAAGCCAATACGACTCTGTCACAGGAAAGAAAAAACCTAAATTGTCGTTAATCAGGCCCTGTTTCATATCCCAAAATGGCCGCTAGTGACATTTTGACGATGAATTCCTTTATTACACGGGCTGTCACTCAAGTTAGCCTGCTGATTGTTTTTGTATATGCTGTGGTTGAAGTATAAATTAATAGGTTCATTCAATAATATTACTATTTCTTGTAGATTTTTACATTTATTGGGGCTGACTTTCCAGCCCGGTTCCGCTATTCAACTGACTGACTAACATTACTGTTATTTATATGTTATCTGTGCTCCAAAGCCAAAGTATGTTAAGTCCAAAAACTCAGTTTTTCAGGAGAGCAGTTTTAATATAAATTTATTTTACAATTTTTCAAATTATGAAACACTGTTTTTACTAATTCTGGTCACTATTTCACAATTGAATTATTTAGGAATACGAATAAGGAGCATAATGCCAAATTTCTGAATTTAGTTTTTGTTTTTTATTTTAATGACTTAACATAGTTTGGCCTATGCAAAAAAACTCATTTCTGGATTTATCATATATGTTAAGTCCAACGGGATGCACTTGAAATATTTGCAGTGGACTTAACCTTAGGTGAATCGGGAAAGAAAATGATACTATTAGCCTATTCAAAAATGTGAAAGTCGACTTTTCAAAAATCTGTACTTAAATCGGTTTTGTAACAGAGAATCTCAGGGTTAGTTTTCCTAACTTGCGAGTGGACTGCTAGGGATATCAGGAAATCGTTGCCTGCGCAATTTATTTTAAGCGTTTTTTTTTTTATGTTTTGACAAAAATATATCAAATCATCATTATTATTTAATAATAATGCGTGTGTGGTAAACTATGTTTTAAGTCCATTACAACAATACAACAATAAAGAAAACAATGATTAGTGTATGCTTTATTAAATAGCTCAAACTTGTTAGGAGACCACGGAACATATCTCGTATGAGGCCTTGTAAATAATAGAGATTATACCGAACAAAAAACTTGCAAGGTATGTTGACTAGTGGAGTTAACATTTTTTACTGAACACAAATTCAGAGTCAAATGATGTTAACGGTACTTAACATTGTTTGCTTCAAGAAGAACTATGGACTTAACGTAGTTTAAAATGAGCTATTTTCTCTCTTTTACAAGATACGCCAGAATTGAAAATGAAAATACCAAACCATGCGCCGCAAAATTTTAAGTAACTTAACATATTAAGCTAAAATTTGGCCAATTTGGACTTAACATAGTCTGGCTCTGGGGTACAGATATGTATAACCATTTTCAGCTTTAGTTAATTCGTTGCATTACCCAAGTTATCTCGACAACTTTAACAAGACACCCTAGTTCCTTGTCCCAAGTTTCGTTGACTGACCGCGCTATATTTATGTACATAACTATTGTAATCAACTATCCAAAAACTGGCTTTAGTAAATTCAGAGAATTTTTTCAACGCTGGCTCTTAAACTAATCAAGGTCACGAAACTTCTCACAGATTAAACAGATAAACACGACATTACAACAATCCGAAGGCTGTAGTGTTGGGGCTACCTAACCCGGTCTGTTCACTCAGCATCCTAACCAACAGATTGGTTCTATCTACTTAATTTCAAAAGAAATTCAAAAAAAAATTGTGAATAATTATTAGATTTACACACCGATCAAGGTTAAGACTTCGTAAATGATATTTATTCTAAAATTTACCATTATTTTTTTGTATTGCCAACATAAAATTAATTCAGGCATTAATAAGCTTAATTACAAATTCAAATAGATAAGTATTCTTACCTTATTCGGTGGGTTCTGCATACCATGGAAGGGTAGGTTTTCATAGAAACCTTTGTCGTTCGGATCGTGGGTGCTGTTGGGATGGTGAAGGGGGTGGTCCTGCATACTTCCAACCGGTGGGACAACCCCCAGCCTTATCTTATCTCCGACTGTAGATGATGGGTTGATGGGCGCTGAAACATTAAAATTAACTTTAGAGCCAGATTCCTAATCTTTTAGTAAATTATGCAAATGATTTTAATTCCAACGAAAAATTTTTATGCTCAAACTTTCATGCCGAAAGCAAAAGAAAAACAAAATACACCCGCTTCACTTACCTGTAAAAAGTTTTTAAAATACTAAAGCCAACTTTTAATGACGTCGCCATAAAAAGGTAATTACATAAAATTACAAGAAGGAAAAAAAAAGTAATAGTGGAGAATGGAGAGCTAAAATTATTTAATGGCCAGTCCTATTAAAGGGCTCCGTGTAGTTGCCCGACTCTGTATATGGGGAAAGTTTTAATAGTTGCGAATTATTGGAAATAAAGTTACGAACACCTCTACATTGTGGCTTATATTTTGTAAGTTTCAATTTCCTAAATTGTCGCTATTTGAGTATTAAAACTTTGATATTATTATCACCAGTTCTAATAAAAACAGTTTATTGAGTTCTTAAATCTCACTTACCATCACCAGGTTTTTTTCTTTTTCTCGGATTGATTGTTTCCGTTCTGGATGCTGTTGGAGATGATTTGATCTTTTTAAATGTCACAACTAACATGCAAAAATAAATAAAAACATAATAAAAACAAATATAAAATATCCTAGAAAAAAAAAAACATTTTAACAAGAATTTAAGGCATTAGAGAATCAAAAACCTTAAACATTGTAGGCGTAGATAAAATGTTAAATTTTTCTTTTGAAATATTGTTATGTTTGTGTCAGTTTAAACAAATGTATCAGGTCCAATTATATTACCAAAAAAGGTAAAAACCAATTTGCATTTAATTGGCCCTGACTGAGTTTGAAATATATTGTTGTAAAAAAATATGAAACATTTTTGGATATTTTACCTCCGCTGGCTCCCTCTTTAATACCGAATGGCCTCCTGGTATCATCATTATTATTTGCAAGTCCGAGAACTTCCTTAAATCTTTTAAGCCTGGCATACATTTTATTTTTATTCCTTCGATATTTAAGATAAGCACTCGTTTTCACGGAAGTACTCTTAAAGGGACTCAATCGAGGATTAAGCTGGCTAATGCTGATGTTGTTCATTTTACTGACGTGTACCAGCACTCCGGGCTTTAGAGGCCATTTCGATTGGTCCATAGGGGAATCACCTTCAGGTCTATTGGTAAAAATAAGCAAAAGCAAAATAAAACAAGCAGGAATGGTCCATTGTGGATAAATCAAAACATTAAAAAATACTTTAGCGCAAAAATGCATAAGAAAGCAAAGTAAGACTTTTGCATATTCTATGGTTTCTTCTTTTATAACAGATATTTGCATTTCAGTGTATATATTCCAAAACAAAAAATTGTCATTCAATGAAATAAAAATATTTCATACACTGTGAGCTAATATTCCAGCATATGTATTTTCCCGTTTCGTGTTTATTTGTTTAGGATGTAAATAAACATCGAGTGAAATATATGAAAAATTCGTATTTGCTTGACATAATACATTTTTGCCTCAAAAAATACATCCCCCATGTTTTATTTGATTTAGAACAACGAAAATTTACTGTCAACAGTGCTAACTACTGTGGAGCATAGTCATGCATTTAAAGTTGCACATAAACCACCCAAAATGATAATTATAAAGTTAAATTGTTGCTCTATAATAACGCACTCTGCGCCCCCATGCGGCATGCTCTACAGTTAACATTAAAAGCTTTAGAATTATGTGTTGTGGTACGTTAATTTTAGGATAGGCTGTAATAATAATAATATGATAGTGTTTTGTCGTTGGAAATGTCACAAATGGTTGCGTTTATATGTATCGTTAAGTTTTGTTTTCATTGGGGATATTAACATAAATAGCGTCATATTATTGTACTGATACTGTAACTTTAAAAGTGTCAAAAGCATGACACAAGTAATCTGAACAGCCAAAATATTTTAAAGAATGCAAATTCTACCAAAATCAGACTGTTCATAATCTATGGGTTGTCCTGTCGCTTTTTCTCTTTTTTTTGTTTTTGTCGTAGAGCAAGCTCTAGGTATACCGGCGAACCTTTAGATATAAATGTATTTTAACAATTTTGTAAAATGATATAGGTACCAATAAAAATTAAACTGTTTATTAGATAAAATTAGATTATTAAACGCCCAAACACACAATTCTAACAAATTGAACAATATAACGTCGATAAAAGCAGAAATGAACAATGACAAGAAAAAAATTACAGTGAACAAACTTATGTGGTACCTTGGTTCCCCAAGTAAGTCACCCTACCGCAGGGTACCAAAGGCAATCCGAGAACGTCTGGACTTTGAGAGCACAGAAACCTGAGGAGGGTATAGAGAGGTTAGTAGTTAATCTATGAAAATGTTAAGTTGGGTGGTATATTTCGAGCAATAGGTGCAATACTAATTTGCGATAAAATAAATGCCAGAAAACTGTGCTCGAAAATATAGTAAAACAAACTAAGGCAAACTAAAAACTGCATTAATGTTGCTTACCTCACGTACGCCATATTGCCTGATTTTCATATAATCGATAAAAAAATATAATTATAAAGCTTAGAACAATATTGTAAAAAAAACTTTATTATAAATGACAAAGATGAACATTCAACATCTTTGCACAACAAAAAATAAGCGATTATCACAAATTCTATTGCACGTTCTACTCCACACCAAATAATAGAGACTCTCACCACATGTGCTTTATTATATTATGCTTAAATGTTTTTATTCGACTTACTTTTCTCGTTCCTCCATCTCCAAAGGGGTATTGTCTGTTTGTTAACAATTACAACAAAAAAAAATCAGCGTTAATATCACACTCAATAACAAATTAAAAATCTTAAAAAATAAATTTATTGTATAAAATTAAAATATAATGTATACAGAGCCTTATAGTACAGCAATCGTGGACGAATTTAATTGTGAGTAATAAATTCATCCACAATTTATTTTAGTTCGTGAATGTGGCATATTGAAACCGATTTTGTGGATAAGCACTAGCAAAATTTACACTGAAAAAAGACTCACATTTTGTGTTCGCTCTCTTTCTTCTGCACAGGATTATGATCACGATGCATATTATAATGACGCAAATTATGATAGCTACTATGCTAGCTATAATAATGATGAGATTCTCTTTGGTTAGCCGCTTCCACCATGGTAGGATTCCTACAGAAGAAAACAATGATTGAAGACATAAGTATTTCATTGAAACTAACTAATGAAAAATAATATTTTGTTTGTAGGATTTAATTTTATCCATGTTCATTAATGATAATAATACAAATATTTTTAAAATCAACTTCAGTACAGTCTTCTATATTGCACACCGTATTGAGACCAAAGTCTGAGAGTTTATCCTAGTCGGTTGAACAATCGAAGATCAAACTGCCTCACTTGACCTTCCTATTTAAAATAAATAAATTTTTGTCATATTGTTGTTGTTACTATAGTTGTAAACCTAAGGATTTTTAATTCAACTTCAGTACAGCACTTTCCAGAATGATGAATCACCAAAAGACCGGAACATTCCTTAAGGATACGGACTACATAGTGCCCAAATATTCTTTCGAGGACAGGATAAAATTGACTATGCCTTCAAGAGAGCCTAACCTAACCTAAGGCAGAGTCTAAGCTTTCGTTATTTGGAGTTTATCCTATTCGGCTGTATAATCGAAGATCATACTTCCCTTCTGCTTTTATAATAAATACATTGCTGTCATATTTGTCGAAATTATAACTATAGTTATAAATCCATAGTTACCCCCGGCTTGGGAGGCTAAAGGGGAGCCTCAGCAGGTGGCGGATGGCCGAACGGCCTATTTTGCTGAGCTGCAAGCAGCCACATCATAGGTCATCACCGAATACCCAATAAGGTGATGCTGACCAACCCTCCAATCCAAGGTGTCACGCGATCCGTGCCGAGGGATGCATGACGGTAAGACAGCACCGCCTTGAGCGGAGCCTTAAAGATACCAGGCGACCTCTTCAAGTAACCAGCTTTACCACGTCGTGCGGGGCTCCGACGTGGTCGACCTTTATTTCCCTAGCTATTCGTGGGAACAAACGGATAAGAATTTGCAAAAAGCAAACAAAGAAGAGCGGGATAACACCGCTAAGCCAATCCCTGACCGAATAGAGCATAACATCCAAGACAGTCAGCAGGCGGGACCCTCTCATCCTCCGAGATTACCTCAGGGAAAACAGGGTTCCGCAAGACATAAGACGGGTACCACACCCACAGGGGAGAAACCCCAGCAAAGAAAGTCTGACCCCAGAAACCAGCCATATAAGCCACCTCTTGGTCAACCTGGAGGGCTCGACGACCCACTGAGAAAAGGCCTCAGTGAAGCTGGAATGCGGTGGTACCTCAGGTTTCTTCAACAGGCCATGACACCAGATGAAGTTAGAGAAAATGGACTGAGGAGGAAAGCGCAGAGCACGCCAGACAAGGCACAGAACATAACCCCTCCGCACAAAGCGGATGTTATGACTAAGAGAACAGAACCTCTTCATGCTGAAAAAGCCGCTGGACCAAGCACCAGCTACGCTGAGTCAGCAAAAACCTTAAAGGTAGCAGCACTTTCCGTGGAATTCCCTAAGGAAACCCTTAGTGCAGAGGAACTCTCTGCCCTAGAGGAGAGGTGGAAGAAATTACGAAAGGTGCGGAGCATAAGCTCCAATTTGGGGGCATACATTTCCGCCCAAGCATGCTGGTGGGTAGCGGTTAGCATAGTCTATCAGGGAAAGTAAATCATTCCCTGCTCACCGTAGATTTCAGGGGTTCTCTGACCCGGAGAACTAGCAATTGCATTAGGATTCCTTGTCCAGGGTCACGGGCGAAGACTATAACGGTAGAGAAGGCGGAGATGAGGTTCATCGGAACGGCAGATCTAGCGGAAGTAGCAACCTTGTTTTTAAGGCTAATATAAAAGCAAATGATGTAGGACAGCAGCTATTGTCATTGCCAAGATGAAGCACAAAGAGGACAATTCTGCACCGGTTCATCATTGGATATCCATAAGTGTGACTGCAATAGTTTGAAAAGTTATGGAACTGCGATGAGGAAGGCAAGGGGAAACGACCTCATTAGTTCTCCCTGGAAATCGTTATGGCACAGAGAAATGACACGCAACAACATACTAATCATGGTTCTCGGATGCCAAGATTCAGCAGGGGAAGATAACCTAATCGACGTCCTTCCCAGGTTGTTGACCAGCGAAATTCATGTTTCTACGCAAATCAAATTTCAAAATCGCAACATGGAACGTAAGGAGTATGTACAAATCTGGTAAATTAAGAAACATAGAGCAAGAGATGCTGCGATCGATATACTTGGAATAAGCGACACAAGATGGGTCGACTCGGGTGAACTTAATACAGAGAATGGACGAGTTTTCCACGCTGGCAGCAATGACAACCAACACCGCTATGGAGTAGCTATAATTCTTAAAAAAAGCCTAGTGAAATCAGTGGCAGGCTTCATACCAATATCTGAAAGAGTCCTTTTGCTACAACTAATGACAACTCACGGCAAACTAAATCTAATAAAGAACTATGCACCTACCGCTGATAAAAATGAAGAGGAAATAGAAAACTTTTATGATCTCCTTCAAAAGACATTACAACTTACCTCATCTAGAGACATAACAGTAGTTATGGGGGATTTTAATGTTAAAATCGGGGAAGGCAGGTGTAACTCTACTGTAGAACCATATGGACTTGGTGTTCGCAATGAGAGGGGCAACCGTCTCATTGAGTTCTGTCAAGAGAATAACCTTGTGGTGGCGAATACATTTTTCAAGCTGCCCAAGCGACACCAGTAGACAAAGATAATAATATCGTTAGAAATCAAATCAATTATATCTTGATAAAGCAAAGATACCGAAACGCAATCAGTGAAGACTTACCCAGGTGCGGACGTATTTTCTGATCATAATCCTCTTATTGCTAAGTTTCAACTACAACTGAAAAAGATGCGAACCAGTCACAAAATCGATAAACCAAACAGAGGAAATTAAATCAGAAGAAATCAGAGAAATCAATGAAAATTTAGAAAGAACTGTCTCCGAATCTCAACAAAATAAAGAAAACCCAGAACAACAATGGCAACTCATTAAAACATCACTTTTAGGAATAAGTAAAAAAGAACTTACGACAAACAAAGATAAAAAAAGAAGATTGGATGACAGACGAAATATTAGAATCAATGAATGAAAGAAGAAAATACAAGGCAAAAAACAACACCTGCCACAAACAATTGCAAAGTGAAATAGGAAGAAAAATAAGAGAAGCAAAAGAAACTTATTTCTCTGAAAGATGTAATGAGATAGAAGAGTTACAAAACAGATATGACAACTTTAACTTACACAAAAAAGTCAAGGAACTAGCGGGATTTGGAAAGAGAAAAAACTCAAACATACTTTTGGATAAAGAAGAAAATATCATAATGGAGACTGAAAAAAAATTGAGAAGATGGAAAGAATACATAGAGGAATTATTTCATGACCAGAGACAGGAAAACACGGCTGCAGACTATCAAGGTGGAGATATAGGACCTGAAATAACTAAATCGTAGGTAGAACATGCACTTTAATCCATGAAGAATAAGAAATCTGCAGGTCCAGATGTAATACCAAGCGAGTTGCTCAAGTTGATCAACGAAAAAAACATAGATTTTTTGGTGGAGCTGTTTAACACAGTCTACAATACAGGAATCATCCCACAAGAAATGCTTACATCAACATTTATATGTCTACCGAAAAAGTCAATGCCAAAGAATGCAGTGATCATAGAACTATAAGCTTAATGTCACATACGTTAAAAATTCTCCTAAAAATTATATACAGCAGAATTCATCACAAGCTAGAATTGGACATCAGTGATACTCAATTTGGTTTTCGAAATGGGGTGGGTACAAGAGAAGCATTATTTTCTTTCACCGTGTTGACTCAGAGATGTTTGGATGTTAACCAGGACCTCTATATCTGCTTCATAGACTACAATAAAGCTTCTGATAAAGAGAAACATGGCCAACTTATAGATCTTCTCAAAAGCAAAAACCTAGATAGACAAGATGTAAGATTAATTTCAAATCTGTATTACAATCAACGAGCCTCAGTAAAAATTGGACAGGAAAAATCTGCTGGAATGGATATAAATAGAGGGGTCAGGCAAGGATGCATATTGTCGCCTTTATTATTTAATGCGTACTCCGAGCAAATTATAATAAAAGCATTGGAAAATGAGACCGCTGGTATAAAAGTAAATAAAGTTCTGATTAACAACATCAGATATGCAGATGACACAGTAATAATAGCCGGCAGTTTAAAAGAATAAGAACGAGTCATGAAAAAAATATTAAGGTGTAGTGCAAATTATGGACTCTCCCTCAATATCAAGAAAACCAAATTTATGAAAACACAAATGAAATTTTAATGGTTGGAGGTCAACAGATTGAAAAAGTGGAAAGATACACTTACTTGGGAACAATTATTACAGAAAACAATGATTATACCGCAGAAATAAAGACTGGTTTGAATGCAGCTCAAAAGATCTTTTTAGAGCAACTGCCTCAAAATTCAGGATTGCGATGATGATTGCCAACCTCCGTCGCGGAGATGGCACTTAGAGAAGAAGATGCTGGTGATTGATTTCCTCACAAAGAAAATAGTGGAGTGGCTAATAGATCACGTCCCCAGGTTGGAAACCTGGCAGGGAGGAGAGCTGATGGTGTGCCTAGGAGACGACATCCCAAAAGCGCACACTTTCACAGTCGAAGAAGCAAAGGGCAAGACCCTCAAAAAATCCTCAGCTTAGTGAACACACAGAATGAGGGGCTAAGTACCTACCCAGCTGTGAAAAATACTAAGCAGCAAGGAAAAAGGTAATGGCCAGCTATTAAACATCGGCATAGACGATGGATCCGGTGAAACCATCAAAAAGATGAGTCAAAGCATCTTCTAAAGGTTCAGGAAAATCCCCGTACATGGCCTCAAGAAGAGAAAAGAACAAGACGAAACAGGCGAGGACCCAAAGGAGCCCAAATCCTCAGGGTCCAAACTCGAGACGCCTTCAGAAGAAGAAGGAAGAGAAGAAGAAAAGGAAAAGACTCCGGTAGGTAGAGGAAATTCCTAGCGAGGAAGAAAATATGCTTCTGTGCGCATAGGAGGCCAACACTTCACCACACCAGAAGAGACAATAATAACAGGTAAGATGGCGAATTACACCAAAATAGCCCAACTGAACACACATCGCGCTAGGGGAGCATTTGCTGTCATAGCGCGGTTGTTCACGTCTGCACCCTTGGGGGCCGTATTAATCCAAGAACCTTGGATATATAAAGGGCAGATCAAAGGTCTACCAATTAAAGGGGCAAAATTAATCTGGGACAGTCGGTGTAGCTAGCCTAGAGCATGCATTCTCCTCAAAGAGAACATTAATCATTTATATTTGTCAGAATTTACGTCGCGGGACTTGGTCACTGTTCGGGTAAAACTTTTCACCGACCAACCACACCGCGACCTAGTACGGGCAAGTTACTTCGCTGGAGATGGGCAAGCACCACCAGAAAAAGTACAGAGACTAGTCGAGTACTGCAAGAGGAGCAAACTACCGCTCCTAATTGGCTGAGAAGCCAACGCCCACAATACCATCTGGGGAAGTATCGACACAAATCTAAGAGGTGAGCAACTGTTAGAGTTTATCTTTCAAACATATATACCTACTAAATGTAGAGAATACACCAACATTTCTCACTAGGGTCAGACAGGAAGTGTTAGACATACAACTTTGTAGTCCAAATATTGAAAAAATGATCAGGAATTGGAGAGTCTCCAATGAACCCTCTCTCTCTAATCACAGAATCATAATGTTTGCGGTTAAAGGAGTGCAGGAATAAAATACTTCGTATAGAAACCTCAGAAATATGAACTAGGAAAAAAACACAACCAAACTGCAATGCAACCTCGAACAAAATCATTTTAGCTGCAAGAATATACGTGATCCTTAATGGAGCAATCATGGAGGAAGGCATACTTCGAACCATGAAGGAATGGTGTCAGACAGTCGGGCTGAACCTAAACTCAGCAAAAACCACACTAGTAACATTCACAAAAAGAATGAAACTCCCAAACCTGAGAAACATTCGCCTCGATGGAAGCAGACTTGATTGGAAAAAAGAGGTTAAGTTCCTAGATTCTAAACTTCCCTGGAACCGACATGTAGTAAACACGAAAAACAAAGCAATCATGGTCTGCAACAAAATTGGGGGTAAAACATGGGGTTGTAACCCATGAATCCTGAGATGGATGTATCCTGAGATGAGACCTATCATCACCTACGGAGCGGTAGGAAAAGGCAAAAACTCGTGGTTCTCTGTATAACACGAGCAATGAGATCATGCCCAACCGCGGCACTAGAAGTCATTCTAGACCTCACACCACTCCACATAATAGTGAAGCGGGTTACCACTGGACTATGTCAGACTGGAGAAGATAGGTCTACAAAAGAAAACGCACCTTGGCAGAACTTTTTCGCTCCCAAACTGTGCACACCTCATGGATCTACCAAAAGACGTGATTGTTGATAAATTCCATTTCGGGAAAAACTTTTCCATCGAGATAAGTACAAAAAACAGATGGAACATGGAATCTATCCAATCCCTTGAAGCAAACACCATCAAATGGTACACAGACGGACCAGATACTCGGAGCCAATGGGAAAATCACCAAGCATATTTCAAGCAGAACAGTTCAACCTGAACAGAAGTTATCGGAAACAAGAGATTGTAATAATGTCTGACAGCCAAGTAGCTATCAAAGCATTGAGATCGCCAGTCATCAATTCTAAGACAGTACCAGAATGTCTACAGAGCTGGGAAAGCAATTAAAGTCACCCTTTTCTGGGTGCAAGGACACATAGGGGTGTCGAGGGCAACGAATGAGCAGACAGACGCGCAAGAACGGAAGCGTCTACTCCCTTCACTGGGCCAGAATCTTTTTGCGGTGTCGGAAATGCGCACCTCAAAGAAATCCTCAAAAAAGAATAGAACTGGCTAAGGAACAAACAATGGCTAGAACAGCCAGGACTACGACAGGCCAAAGATCTATTGGGCAACTTCAACCCAAAAAGATCAGAACTGCTGGTCAACCTTAGCAAGAAAAATCTCAAGTCTCTAACCGGGTTTTTCTCGGAATATTGCAGACTTAAGGAACACCTACAGAAGTTAGGGTTAGAAGAAGGTGGCACCTGCAGATTCTGTAAAGATGGAGAAGAGACACCTCACCATCTTCTACTGAATTGTGATGCCGTTAGTCGCTCAAGGATGAAGAACTTGGGAAGTGCCCTTATACAGTTGGAAGACATTCCAGCCCTGCTAGATATCCTCGAATGTTTAAAGGACCTAGGACTGGAGGGGCTGCTTTGAGCAGGAAACACAAACTTAGCAGCAGAAGGAGGGGTACAATAGATCAACCTTGGTCGCGGTGCCACTGACACCTCCAATACACACACACAGACACACACATTCACAAATCCATAGTTAAGAATTTGAAAGTAAAGTCAATCAATTATTATTCAAATAAGTGCAATTAAAATTTGACTTAAGATAAGCCTAATAATCTGATGTTGGGTAGACAAAATAAAATAAGTTTTGTTCTTACCTGCCACGTCCATTTCGCACGGCTGCTTGTCACTAAATCCAACCGAATTATTAGCGAAACATTGATAAGTTCTCTTCGTGTCCACCGTCGAGTCCAAAATTAAAAAACTCTTGAGCCCATCCTGGATAATGTAGCTATTATCGACGATGCTATTAGTCTCGTTACCTTCGCGCGATTTCCAAAAAAAGGACACTTCTTGTGGATTGGCTTGAACGGTACACAATAGGGCCGGGCTTCCATCTTTCTCAGTCCGAGTAATTGAACATTCGGGAGCATCTAGAACATATTTTACATAAATTTTATCATAATATAAATTTATTTACTTACACATAACATTGAAGTAAACTACAGCATTTTCAGTGCCATGTTTATTGGAAGCTTCACAAATATACGTTCCCGAATCTGATCTTATCATGGGACCTAAGCGTAGCTCTTCCCCATATTCTTTTGGTTCAGCTGTCGTATTTTTTTTCCATTTATATGTTAAATTCGGATGGCCTTTTCCGTGACATTTTACAGGATTTGGAGCTTGGCCTTCAATAACATTTAGTAGTTTTGTTGTTACATCAACTTCTTCAGGAGGATCTAGAATTTAAATTTAATTTCAAATTGAATAAAGCTCGATTTAACGAACTAGTGATTTGGAAACTTTCAGAAAATTTATTTCCAACAACAATAAATATATAACCGGATCTGGCGGTTTTACGATATGTAAGAGCATGAATAAGATATTTAGTTTTTCTTATCCCTGTCAAGGTTTTAAGTATTTACGGAAGTGCATATTACTGTCCGATAATTAGATGCGCAATGTGTAAAAGTCGTACTTACAATCAACGGCAATTTCAATCGTCGAACTAACTCCCGGTCCAATCTGGTTCGATTCGCTCTGACAGGTGTAATTAGAATTTGGGGCAGTGCGGTTAAGCTTATTTCCCGGCCAAGCTGTCATATTCCATATCTGAAAAACACAACGAAAACTTTATAGAAAAAAAGTCTTAACAAGGCCGAAAAACGTTCTGTTCTGATATAATTTGGTCCGGCTGGTTAATTGATAAATTGGCAGCTTCGGACGTTTCCCTTTTTGATAGCAGGCGCTTCTGTTTGCTGACTGTTTCCTGAATTGTATCGACTGATTTTGACGAGTGTCATGAACAATTATTTCCGAGACAAACGATGCAACGCGTTGGATGGGATTAAAAAAAAAATCTTGATGACACAATTGGGGACATCCGAAGACTGTTTTTAAAAATTTCCAGTTTTTGATTTTTGGAGCAACGAGTTTCCAGGGGCAATTATTCAATTTTACGTATAGAAAATCACATTTGATTACTTACCAAAGTTGACTCAACTGATTCGAAAATATTCTTTTGTCTATCAGGTTCGTGTATGACAGTTTTGTTATAATACAATGGATTGTTCCTGAAATCAATTATTCTTCCATTTTTCTTCCAGATGATGCTACATAATGGAGAACATTCTACGCGACACGTAAGGTTGATTTGCTGAGCTGAATAGAGGATGCCTTGATATGGCTTGAGTCGATCAAAAAGGGCTGGTGGAGCTAAAAAATTAAATTGTTTTCAAATATTCAATTCTACTCGAGGAACAAAAACAGGTTTCAGATTGAACCTCAAGTGCCCCTCACAATATATTTAGGATTTTTGATTCTACCTGAGGCCTGCTCATGCTACACGCAATATTTTATTTAAATTATCGAGTCCCTCTTCTACTGTTATTCAAAATCTTTTTGTGTACGATACACATTTTATTAATTTTTTATTTAGAAGATTTAAATGGGTCATTTTGAATCTCTCACTTGATACACTTACCATTGACATTGATGAAAAGTGTAGCAGGCTCGCTCTGACCACCTTCATTCATAGCTATACAAGTGAAATTGCTATTAGTTTCCAATCCTACAGGGACGATTTTATGCTTGGATGTTGTTATGTCGGTCATTTGATGTGAACCTCTATACCAAATGTAAGTTACATTATCCGGCCTTCCCGTCGAATCCACTTTACATTCTAGATTCACTTCAGCACCTTTTACTACTTTTGTTGGGTAGGATCGAATTTTCGCTGGACTAGGTGGATCTGTACAGAATATCAATATCAATCAATCAAGAGCCAATCATAAGTATCTATAGAAAAAAACCAAGTTGGTGCTTTTCAGAGCTGATAAATCCTTTCTTGCTTCGACAATCGTAAGATTAAATTTTATTTTTTCATACCTATAAACCAAGAAAATTATATTCTACTTACAATAAACGACCAGCTCGGCCGGTTCTGAAATCGGTCCCCAACCGGCCACGTTCTCGCCTTGGCAAGTGTAATTTCCGGCGAACGTTTCATCAACTCGCTCCAGACTTAAAATGCTCGGATCCAGACCACAGAACGGACCACCTGAGTCGTCGCTCGCAGTGTAATTGCATTCGGGAAATTCTTTCATTAGTTCCCCGTCCAGGAACCATCTTACCTGGATGATATGAAAAATAGATCGTTTTAATATACCTACCTAATAGTTTTATAGTTTATGACTACATTAAAATTCATATTTTCATTACTCTTAGTAAATTCTAGAAGCATTTAGCATATTGCTAAAGTTAACTGTGAAGTACTTTTTAGATTAGTTACGTGTTTTCATTAATTAACGCCTGAACTCTATTTCGGAGAATTCATGACCTAAATATAAATTCACCTTTGACAAATTCGAAGGGTTCCCGGATGTGACGTTGCACTGCAACAAAACATTAGTTTTATCTTGTGCCTTAACTGGAATGACCGGCTCCATGAGAACTTCTACATCTGGAGGATCTGTAATCATTAATAAATTTCTGGGTTCATTATTTATCTTTTTCGAAATAATTACTTACATTGAACATTTAAATTGATGGTGTCTTCAGATTGTTCCATTCCAACTTCATTTTTAAGCCAGCAACTGTACTCTCCCATATCATCTCGTGTAACATTATAAATTATTAACGGCGGATTTTCGATTGTACCTCCGCTGTATTTTTTTTTATCGGTTAATGTTAGGTTTTTGTCATCTTTAGACCTACGGATTTATTACAAAACATGAGTACTAATATTCTAAAATTCCATACATTGTTTGGAAATTGAGATTTATCGGCAAAATTTCGCTATTCAACAACAAATAATGACATGTTCGGGTCTTAAATTTGCAACTGATTCGATACGATGCGTTCGGGATTCATGAATTCCGATATTCGAATAGTCAATTTATTTTAATTTTATATGCAATTGTTGTCGAGTACATTTGGGTACATTATATACTGATATACATGTGAATTTGAAATCTCTGCAGTTAACTTAATGAAAGGGAGAAGGGGTAAATATATATGTATAATTATTATTGGCATACATTAATACGACAAATATTGCAATCACCTTATAAAGACATAATATTTAAAGTTGGGGAGAAACTTGGGTGTCGCTACACACAGTAGTAGCGATCGATATTGCATTTGTAATATTAATCACTATCAAGTCAAAGAAACTTTTCACCGCTTATAAAACGAATTTAATATAACCTAAATTTAAATTCTTTAAACATACCAAAAAGCTCCCTTCAGCTCTTGGGGATTTGCTTTATAGCTGCATATTAGCAATGTCCCGTTTGTCGGAGCCAGGGCTGTACTCTCGTTTACTGTGATGAATTTTGGTCTTACTAGAACTACTGGAGGATCTAATAAATAAAATAATATTGAGTTAAAAATTTGCATAGATTTTGCTGTAAACACTTACATCTCACTTCCAAAATTAACACTTTGTGTCCCTCCGGTTCACCTTTGTGTTTCGTGACTTCGTTTTCGGCGTAGCAGTGTATCTTGACACCGTTTTCATAGTGGCTAGCTTGAAACACTAGGGTACTTTTCGTATTGAACGTTCCATCTCTCTGGAATAAATAATTATTTTTTAGTTTCAATATTTTTACAGCTAATAACGTCCAAAAAAGTATGTCGCTAATACATAAGTAAGAGGTGCTACAAACATGCATCAGTGCTTATTTATCTTCAAATAAGGTCTTCATAGTATATTTTATGAGATAATATTGAACGGCTCATATTCATGAGATTTTCAATTAAAAGTGCATACATATTTTTATTCAATATTTGGATTTTGCTGTATTTAATTTTGAATGAGCTGCGTGAAGATATTGAAAAAGGTTTTTCTTCAAGCATTTAACTTTTATTGCTCGAAAATTATTACCATTGCAAAGCTACAAAGAAAACTGACAAAGTTGAATTTTCAATATTTCTTGTAAGTTGAGCAGAGAAAAGAACCAATAAATAGCAAGAAAAATCAACGTCAATCATTTTTAATGAGGCACCCAATATTTTGCCGAGACCCACACTTTCAAATGTACAGCCTTTCGTCGAATAATACATGACATTTTGCCGGCGGAAAGCGGGACCGCACAAAAGGCTTCTTAAGAGAAGTATCTGAAAGTTTCCTTTATCCGACCTACAAAAAAAAAGGAAGTTGCGAGATAAACATTTTCCGAATAAATTGCGGTCTACTTGTAATTCCGACAAAACTCCTCCTCGAGTTGGGGGCTATTAATTTCGTCCTGCTGTGCGTTGCAAGGAGGAGGCAGGCAGCGACGTTTTATCCCAAGACTTAAAAGACGGCGAACTTAATAAGATGTAAAGGAACGGAGACATACGGCCGGAGGGTTAAACACAGCTACAACTCTAATAAATTAGAGAAAAGGCTACGCTTTTCGTATGTAAAATTGCGTGCCAGCAGGCACAATTTTTCAGCAGGTTGATCTACGTCTTTTTTTTTGTTATTTTCTTAAGTGGATGAATACGGAATATGCAGCCGGATTCCGAAGGAAACAAGCTTTATTTTCATTGTTGGACGACTTGAGACAGCTAAAAGTTAATGCAAGACACCATAAGCACAAAAAAGTATCAATATCAAAACTGACAAGGAAAAACCTAAAATGAGAGAAAGTCACAGAGACATTAGAAAACATTTATATTATTTCCCATTAATCATCCACCATAAGAAATAAAGAAACAAGAAACTCTATTTTGAAATCTGACATTACATTACAAGAAGAACAACTAGCTTTGAGACACAAGAAGGATGGTGAATGCCCAGGTGAAGATGGGATAAAGGACGAGATGTTCAAGTTTGCAGGACCAACACTTGAAAAGATACCTTCGAATAAGTGCCCAAAATCCTGGCTTGAAGCAGAAAAAAGCAACTTATTACTACTCGTCTATTACGAAAATTTGATCAGGCTGCAGAGCATTGATCCAGACTGTATTGCTTCGCATTATATTTCATCAATACATTATTTTACATCTTCTATATCATATGCAAACAGTAAATTCATTATCTAATGGTTTATAATTCCAAACACAAGAGGACCTCTCCGCACTGCGACCTGATTAGATCTATTCTGCTTTCCCTCATCTAGTGTGTTGAGGCTTTTGCACATCCATGGCCGTTAACTAGTGCTGCTCCAGATGAATACGTTTTCTGCGAGACAATGCATAACAGTTGCAAAGACTCAGAGGCTTCTTCACAGAAGTGGCATACGTCTGATTCTGTTTTGCCAATCTTTTCCAGATGGTAACCCAGAGGACAGTGACCCATAAGGAGGCCTTAGATCTGCTTCATTAAAGTCAATCATTTCCTTTGTCTTTATTGACTGGGGCGAGATGAATTGCTTTGCCTGTCTTAAGTCCTGGGAGCATCTTCCAGCGGAAGGATTTCTGTAATGCCAAAGAAAGGTTCTGGTACAAGGAATGGTGTTGCAGCTCCTTGTCTGACAAGTTGGTCCGCTATTTCATTCGCCTCGACTTCTTGGTGTCTTGGTACCCTGGTACCCATTTGTAATAAATAACCATGTATTTTGCGTGGCCATTTGTTCCCATATCGTAGACTGCACTGAATTTGTGAAAGTTTTGCATTTCTTGGCTTTAGGTTCATGGTATATTTCATCAATAATACAGTTGCCGTCGTTATTAATGTTTCTTATAACATCTGGAGAACAGAGAAACATGTGATTTTTGAATTTCAAGCATTGTTCGAATTCTTCTTTATGAAGTTGAAAGTATGTAAAGCTGAGAGTTATAATCAATGGCGATATAATCGTTTGATATATCTAATATCCAGTAGGAGTTGTTGGATATTCGTTCTGGAATTGGGGTTGCTTTTATAACATCAAACCGTGATATTTCTATTATGGGAAAAAAGTCAAATACTTGCTAGTGGCTCCTATTCTGACATAAGGACATTTTTATCACAGGCGTAGATAATGCTTCCAAGTTGTTCGGTAATTTTCTGTTGATATCTGTTATCAGACTATGAAGATACGTTGGAAATATGATGTCGTAGATTGTTCCCCTGTTAAACTGGATATTTTTCATATGTTCGTAGTATCACCTTATTTCTGCAATGTACTTAGTTGCTATTTGATAGGTGCTTAGGATATGAATATTTATGCTGTTAATGTCTATACCATTTGTTCATAGATTGAATTGCTTCTAATCTTTGATTAAGCCTTGTTTGGAATCTGCGAAGTTGATTTTTTTTTCAGTAGTATTGAATGTTGATAGTGTTTGGTGATTGGAAGGTTTAATCAACATTTCTTGATTTTTATTTATATTATTTATATCCTCGTAGACCTCATCGCTGAAGCCAAAAACGGACGTCAGAAATTTTCCCAGTAAACCTCTTTTTGGACGAAGTTGTATTTCTTGGAGGATCTTAAATATCCAGCTAAAATGTTGTTGTAGCTCTTTTAGATGATGGTCCAATATGTCACAGTGCATTTCTTCCGATAGTTGTCTTATCTTGTTACACAGCTTCTCAAAATTGGTTACGACGCTAGTTACATTTTGGATGTCTTCCTTGATTTTTGTTATGTTGTAAGTGACTTCCATTCTAAATGTTCCTCTATTTATTTGTGTCATTCCAAAATGTTCTATGTAAATACCTCCTTCGGGATATTTTATAACATAGCTGCTTTGACACTTTGAAAGAAATATTAAACTGAACCATATAGAAAGTTGAATGATTTGAAAATGAGAAACTTTTGATTTCTCGGTTTTCATATGCTTCTTCACAGTGCACTCTCTTTTGATATTGTGACTGCTTGAGGTTTTTGCTTTGTACCATGCAGGGTTTTGTGATGTGCGTCCATTATTATTAATTTGCTCACATGACTTTGACTTGGTAGTATTATAGAATCTTTGTGACTGTATGTTAGCTCTGAATTTTGTAATCTTCCGCCAACTCATAGGATTTGTTCCCCGTCTTAGGTTTTATATTTTGCGTATGATTTCTTCTAGTTTTTCTTTGTATCAATGGATGATATCTCAGATGGAAATTCGCAGTTTTGGATAACTTTGATAACTTCTTGGAAGGTTTTTCTTGTTTCGTCGACAGATAATATTGGTTTGTTGGACCTGTGAAAGACTCTTCGACAGTAGCTTAATATTCTTATCATTCGGGTTACCTCGGAGAATCGTTCGATAATGTTTTCTGTGATTTGTATTTCAACCTGGAAACATTTTATCGTTTTCTTAGCTTCTTGGCCCGTTTCGGGTATTTCTTTAGTTAATGGTAGTGGTTCATGACTATGAAGCTATGCTCTTCCATTCCACCACTGGAGATTGTTTGCTAAATGTTCTGGATTGTACCCTCTGGATATAACGTCTGCTGGATCTTCGGATGTTTTTACGTGGTTCCAGTGACTGCTGTCTACATATTTATATATATCACTCACGCGATTGGCAACAAATATTTTCCATCAATTGGGCTGGCTTCTTATCCAGCCTAATGTTATCACTCCATACGAAAGTTTCTATATTTTCTATTTCTAGTGTCGAAATAGTTTGATTTATCATTTTCGCTAAAAAGTGTGCTGCATAGAGTTCAAGTCTCGGTAGCTTTGTTCTTAGTTTCATTGGGGCTTTTTTTGATTTTGCCTGGCGAAGTGTGACAGCTATGTTCTCTTCAGTCGTCATTGTTCGGCTGTAGATCACAGCTCCATAAGCCTTTTCAGAGGTGTCGCAGAATCCGTGAAGTTGAATTAGATTCCCTTGGCTAAATTGCATCCATCTTGGAATTCTGATATCTTCGAGTTTATTTATGTCCTTTCTAAAGGTTATCCACCTGTCTGCTAGTTCACCTTCTATTTTCTCATCCCATTCTAATCTTTCTAGCCAATAGTCTTGTATGATTACTTTTGATTTGATGACTATAGGTGATAACCATCCTAGAGGATCGAAAATTTTTGTTATCTCTGATAGGATGTGCCTTTTTGTTATTAGACTCTATGGTGATGTGGTAACTTTAAACATGAAGTTGTCATCATGAAACGATCAAAATACACCAAGTGATTTTTGGATGTCATCTTCGGATAATTCTTGGACGGTTTGGTTTTGCTGCGATTTGGGAAGGTCTTGAAGAAGGGCTGGATTGTTAATGGTTCACTTTCTCAGATTAAAACCGGCAGATTGCATCATATTGAGTAACTGTTGTTGAATTTCTATTGCCGATTCTAGGTCATTGGCACCTGACAGGATATCATCTACGTAAAAGTCTTGTAAGGTGATTTTGCTTGCAAGAGGAAACTTCGTTTCTTCAGATTTTGTTAATGTCTGTAAAGTCTTAATGGCTAGGTATGGTGCAGATGCTGTTCTATATGTGACAGTGGTTAGCTCGTATACAATTATTCGGAGTTCGCTGTCAGATCGCCCTAAAATTCCCTGGTAAGGTTGATCTTCTCAATGGATTATTATCTGTCGATACATTTTTTCTATATCAGCTGTAAAAACTACCTTATGCTGCCTCCATCTTAGCAGGATTTCAGATAGGTTCTATTGGAGTCTTGGACCAGTACGCCTCAAATCATTTAAACTAACATTGGAT